GGCCCCGCCCCACCCCCACAGGCCTCGCCCACCGTCGCCGCTTTCAGTTTCTCTTTCCTCGGTGGCGCCGGGCTGGCAGCACAGCCGGGTCTCCACGCTCCTGGGACCCTCCGGGAAGGTTTTCTACCCCGGCTCCGCCTCGTACCTGCCCGCGCACCCCTCCATCAAGCGGCCCTGGCTCCGCTCCTGAGCCTTCGGCCCTCTCAGATGCCCCCTTAGGATCTGGCGCCTACCTCGGGCCCGGGGTTTCGGCAGGCAGGTGGCTTAGGACACTGCACCCGCCCAGCTCTTTCCCGTCCCCTCCAGGTGTCTCCGCACCCGGTTCGGGCAGAGCTCTGTTTCGCTTCCCGCCTCCAGCCGGATCCCTCTAAAAGCCCCAAGAGGTCTCCCCCAGTCCTGGAGTCCGGCCGAACCCCTAAGCCCCCTCCTAGCCTACACCCTTAAGAGCCCTTACTCGGCTCCAGTGGATCGCCGCCCCCGGCTGCTTACGGCTGCTCCCGCCGGAGGCCGCTGTCCCAGCCCCTGCCCTCCCCCTGGCTAGGACTTCCCAAGAAGCAGCGCCCTGACCACAGGCTTCGGTGGAACCCTCGGTGCGGGAGGGGCGCCGCGACGCCAGCTAGAGTTCCTCGGAAGCCGGGCGGGGCAAGGTTCTGGGGCTTGGTCCCACCCTTCCTGCGCTCCTACTACGGCTGGAGAAACCGCGGCCGGAGGACGGGCTGGCACATCCGAGCTCTGACTCCCACCCTCCCCGTTCTCTTTTTGGGAAGGGGAGTTGGACACTTCCAAATGTCCCTTAGAGCCCAGGCGCACTCGCGGAGGTGCCAGCCTTCCTGGCGCCCTCCCTACACACTGTGGGCTTGGCATGGTGGAGGTTGGTCGTTTGCACACGTGTGTGATTAGTGGCTTTTCGTGGAAGGCAGGTGCACTCTCAGCCAGAGGGGGTCACACCAGAGGCACACCCGGCGGGCGCACACTGCCCTCTACAGACCGCTCTCAGGCTGCAGCCAGGTCGGCCCCTTCCCGCCTCCTAGGCCCAGAACCTTAGTTCCCAGCAGAACCCAGGTGCTGTTTGCCCCTGCACACAAAGCGGTGGCCCAGCTTTGAACCCTCTGAGCTCCCTTAGTTACTATGTGGCCAGGGCTGGTGGTGTCATTGGTGTGGCTGTCCCAGATCCTGTATATGTGTGGGGGTGCACACGTGCAGCAAGAGAGTGAGAGGATGCAGAGCCCCATGCACCAGGAGCCAGGTATGTGGTTATTCCAGAGATGCAGAATGGTCACCCTGTGCTGGGTGATGGGTAAAATATACCATACTGGTCAAAAGCCAGACTTTAGACCCAGACCCAGTTTCAGCTCTGCAACTTCTGACCTTACAACCTCAAGCATGTCATTCGCTTCCCTGGCTTGGTTTCCTCTTGAAGGGGGGGCATGGTGTAATAGAGGTGCCTCCCTCATGGGGTTGGGGGTGGGACTTAATGAGGGATTAGGGGTGGGTGCTTGGAACAGCCCCATGGCATATAATAAGCATTCAATGGGATTGGCTGTTGTTCACCCCAAGCTTCCTGTGGCATGGGGGCTGTTTGGAGCCCTTAGACACACGGCTTCATCCCTTGCATCAGTTTTAGAGTTTCTAGTCCAATGAACATAGCTAGAGAAGGCCCAGCCATGAAGATGAAGAGCACTCCTCAGGGGTCAACCGGGCCGCTGGCTGTTGGCAGTGGGAAGGGGTAGCAGCCCCTTCTCAGGAGAAGTGAGCACTTGGATGGTCCATGCCCGGAGAAGACAGCCAGGCTGGCCTGGCTCCTGCATGGAGCCAGCATGCCTTCCTGCCAGCATGTCTTCTTGGCAGGCTGTGGGCAGAGGGGAACCTTATAAATAGCTGATGGTCTGTATGTCGCTCCCATTCCCCGCTGGCAGCCTCACCGGCTACTTGGGGGAGCAACCCCCTTTCCTGGGTACCGAGGTCTACTCTCACCCCTCCCCCTGCCACTCTCCCAGCCATGCTCAGGAATCCCGTCTGCGTCTGATTTACTGTGACCCACTGGCATGCTGGGTGCTTGACTGTGCTTGGGCCATAGGGTGGCACAGTCCAGTCCGTGCATTGTGCAGGCAGAGAGACTGAGACTCCGAGAGCAGTCACTTTCCCCAGGGCACCCAGCTCAGAAGGGGCAGAGCCAGAACTCATTCCCAGGTTACCTGACCCCAAAGCCTTGGCCCTTGTCCTTTGTGCTGTGTCTCCGCCCCTCCGTCCTACTGGGCCTCATCCTGGTCTGTTTTCTGGGAAAAGTAGACTCCAGAGAAAGCAGAGAGGTCCTTTTGTATCCCGTGCCATTCTGGGTTGAGCAGGGGCGGGCTTGGTGGGCCCCTCCTAGTTGTAAGTTGGGAGTGGCTCCTGGTTTTTGCATCTGAGTCGCCACTTCATGCTGTTGCTTTGGGCCCTTTTGAGTCTCAGTTTCCTTTGTGCAAGCACCCTGGCCTCATCCCCCACCCTGACCAGGTTGTGAAATCCATGGGTGAGCCATGGACACTGGTGCATGTGAGTTCTCACTGCCCTGGTGACAGTTATTGTAGCTTTGGTTTCATTTTCTGAAGCCCTAAGTTCAAAACGAAACCAAATCCAGATGCCAAGAAAGACATGGGCTGATTGACAAGCATCTGCTGGGGGGTGGTGGGGGGAATTGCTGGGCACTAGGCTTGCAGGAAGCCAGGTAGCTGCCACCCTGGGAGCACAGACTGGGGCTGGGGTTCAACTGCTTCCAGCTGTGTGACCTTGGGCAGACGACCTGCTGTCTGGCCCTCACCCCATCTGCAAAGTGACCTCTGCAAGGGCTGCACCTCACAGCAGCGCTGCATGCAAAGCCCAGAGCAGTGCCAGGTACAGCTACGAGCTTGTCCCAGGGCACATGGGGACAGCCTGTGTCCAGAGCTTGCCGGGCCAGGCAGGCAGGTGGGACACGTCTTCCCTCTTCCCCTTGGCTCACTCACTCAAGTACCATAGAACCGAGGTGTCCAGCCAGCAGTGGGGGGAGTTGGGATCCTAGCCTGCAGAGTTGCGTTTTTCACTTTCTCTTTCCAGCGTTGGTAATGTCCTGCTGGGAAAAGCAGCCCCTGATCCAACCTGGAATCCTGGGACTACCCTCTGCCCTGTGCTCCTCAGCCCTTTCTGTCTAACATGTGGGGCAGCGAGGGTCCCATGGAAGTCCGTGCCCCTGGGAGCCCTGAGTGGTGGGGTCTGCCTGAGGTCTGCCATCTGCCGGTCTGGCTTTAACTCTCACTTTTGGGACAAGTTTCTGAGGTTTTCAATGTGCTTATTTGCAAGATAGGTGGTTACACAGCCACTTGGCATCTTCGGTATTCAGCAGGTATTTACTGAGTGCCCACCATGTGCCTGGCCCTGGGTGCCAGGGGTCTTCAAGCAGACCTGGGAGAGACGAGGGACTCGTCATTTCAGACTGCTCGGCAGCAGTGCACATAGGAAATAAAGGGGAAGGAGAGCGAGGTGTTCGCAGTGGGGGAGAGCCTGGAGCAGGTGGGATGAAGGGGACCCCCTGCAGAGAGAACAGCCAGCGCAAAGGCCCTGGGTTGGGGATGGCCCATGTGCTTCGGGACCAAAGAGGACACAGTGTGGCTGGCGAGAGCGCAGGAGGGTGAGCACAGAGGGGAGGCATGGGGTTGCAGGGCCCTCTGGGTGGTCTGACAGCTGGGGTTCTAGCCATGGCAGGGTCCGGTGGCCACCTCGGGGCATACCTCACAAATGTCCCTGACCCCCGGCGGTCCTACACTGACCCTGAGATGGGAGCACAGTCCTTGGGTCACACTGGGACATTTGAGTTGTGCTTCGTAGAGAACACAGCCTGGGGGCGTCAGCCCGATTCTGGGGTAGGCCCTGCCCCCAGAAACTCTGGAGATGGAGCCCCCATTTTCTGAGCCTGCTCTGGGCCAGGGGACCGTTTTGGGGGTGTTAGCCAATTTAACCTTTCCCATGGTTCTGTTGGGTTGGCAGTTGCATTGCCATCAACCAAATGAGGGGAGCTCAACTCGGAGAGGGGCGCTTGGCGAGGGTGATCTGGGGAGCCCCGGTTTGCCAGAACATGGCTTGCAGGCCCGTCAGGGCGGTTGCTTCACTCCGGGCCCTACCTGTTGCCACGGCAGGGAAGATCGTGGGCTGGGGTAGGGGTGGAGAGTCAGGAGCTGAGGACCCCAAGTCCAGGAGGAAGGTCTGGAAGGCCAGGGAGCAAAAGCACGAGCCTGTGCCTGGCACGCAGTCCTGGGGAGACCTGCTGAGACCTTCCCACCCAGGCCTAGTGAAGAAAGGGGAGGTTGAGGAAGGGGTAAGGAAAGCCGCGTCTGGTTACTTTTCTCTCTCGTAAAAGAGGTTTTTGCCTTAGGGCGCGTGCACTTCCTCACCAGAGAGAGACAGAGCCAGTGAGAAGGTGAGAAATCACTCCCGGGGAGATGGCCACCCGCAACCCCCCTCCTCCATCCTCCCGGGATCTTGGCACGCACCTACACCCAGCAGCCGTCTGTTTTTACATGAATGGCTCCGAGACAGGGGCAGGAAAGTGGATTTCTGAACCCTGGTGGCACAGTCCAGACACACCCAGTTCCAGGCCCACGCCCACCAGCTGCATGGCTTCTGGCCTGAAAAAACCACTAGGAAGCCCTACTCTGGAAGGCCCACTGCCTTTTCATCAGTAAGCCCCCAGGGCCTGGCTCAGAGGCTCTGCTCCATTCTCCAGACTACCCTGCTCAGCCCAGCTGGCCCCCAGCGCACCCTACCCTGCGGTGGCCACAAGGTGCAGGTAGCACACACGGCACGAGCAGCTGAAGAGAAGCAGCAGCACCTACCTGTGGCAGTTGGCATGGGGTGGGGGGAGTGAATCTGCAAGAAGAGCTGTGAACAGAGATTCAAGGACCCACTCACAGCAGGCGGGACGTTGGGGCTGGGTACAGGAGCACTCCCCAGGCTGGTCACCGCGTGCTGTGAGGCCGCTGTTCAGGACTGCGGGGACAGGATGCAGTGACGGGCGGAATTCAGCCCAGGTGTCTGCTGGAGAAGGCATCTTGTGTCAGGACACACAGCAGCGGTGCCAGGACGTGGGCGGCCCGGCCTGGTCGCAATACCCTCGTGGGCCCAGGGAGGAGGTGGGCCTTAACTGAGCGTTAAAGAACAGTGGGGTCTAGCCAGGGAGGGGAGGTCGGGCTCCTTGCACAGCACAGGAGAAGCAAGAATTTGAGGGCCTGGGTGGCGGGAAGAGACCCCAGGGCTGCTTGAGAGTGTCTAGGAGGAGGTGGGGTGGGACCAGCCCTTCCTGCCCTTGGGAGGGTGTTTGGGGTCCAGAGAGGGACCCCGTTGTGTCGCATGCGCCTGTGCGCCCTCTGCAGTCAGTGGCCCTTGCCGCGCCCCACTGGATGCGCATCTGTGCTCCTCGCTTTTCCCCCTTCTGTTTTTCATTTCCTCTTGTAAACTAGAATTCAAGTACTGCCCCTCCCCAGAGGTAACCCTGGCTAGGTGTGTGTATCCTGGATCTTTTTCTACGCATTTGTTTGGTTTTTTGTTGGTTTGTTTGTGTTTTGTTTGTTTGTTTTGCCATTAGGTGTGTGCACTCACTGGAGAGAGAAAAAGAGACAGAGAGAAGGAAGGTGAGAAATCAGCCCTTGCTCATTTCTAGCCATGCTGCAGTTCCTTCTCCTCCATTCTCTTGGGATTCTAGGCATGCATGCATATGCGCCTGGGATGATTTTCAAGCTGCCAGGTCTGGGACTTGAACCGTAGGCGGCCAGGTGGTAGTCCAGCACCTTTACCACCACACCAAATGCTGGTCTTCTGTGTATTTTTACCCCTAGAAACACAGAGATTCGTGCTGGATTTTCCCCTCTGTAAATGGTGTACCTCCTCTCCTCTGAGTTTTCACCAATAGTGTACACCCCATAAACTGGGTAGATAATGCGTGTGAGCTGACCCCGCGATTTTCAGGACCTGCACAGTACACAGCGTGGACTCGGCGTGTTCCCTTAGCCTTCCCTGGGGGTGGAATCATAGGCTGTTTCCTGCTCCTGCAGACCCTGTGGCCCTGGACCTCCTGTTGAACCTGTTGGCATGCACAGGTGAAACAGTACGTGTGCTTTAAATGTTGCCCGCCCACACGGCCGGGCACATGTCCCTCTCAGCAGTGGCATCCAGCTGTCCGTTTCTGAGTGTCGGACTTCTAACATTTTTGCCTACAGTGGGTCCCCAGGTGGCATCTCATAGCGGCTTTTACTGTTTTTAATGGGTGAGGAGTGGAATACCTCCAAAGGGACCTCGCAGTATCGGGAGCCTCCTGTCCCAGCCTGTTTTAAGTCAGTCCTAGAACCACAGCTGAGCCTCCGACATGGCCCCAGCCTTGTGCAGCGACACCCCACCGCTTGTGCCATGGCTGCTGGCCTCGCTGTTGCTTTAACGCCCGCTTCTTTCTTTATTCGGCAAATATTTATTCAGCTCCCTGTGCCAGGCGCCATGCAAACTACTGGGGATGCAGCAATTAAAAAAGTTCACAAGACTCCTTGTTCTTTTCCCTCAAGTATGAGATGTAAATACGGTTCAGAGAGGCCAAGAGACAGGTCCATCACCCGATGAGGGAGCGGAGAACGGATTCGAACCTGGGCCTGTGTGGCTACAGTGTGCAATACGTTTTTCTCGGAATCATACCTCAGATGGGCGTCTCAACCCTGCGTCTCGCCCTTTCCTCGCTGCCTCCCCACTGCCCTGCCCAGGACTGCAGGCCCCCTTAGAGACCCTGCGGCAGCGATAGCCCCCCAGTGACGGGGCAGACAGTTCCACCTTAGGCCAGGCTGTCTAGGTACCCTCCCACGCCTGTGTCACCCCTGAAACCCCACTTAGACCCACCCTCTTGATCAGAGAGTCAGGATGGAGCACGTCCAAATCCCACCTCTCCTTTCAGTGGCCGAGCTGGGATCTGTTTCTGTTTCCTGAAACTGGGTGTCTCCGCAGGCCTGCCACCCCATCCCAAACCCAGCGAGTAAGAGCGAGTCTGCAGTCCAGTTTGTTTTCCGTTTCTATGCCTAAGTGGCTGCTGTCTCCCTGTGGGGGTGAGGAGGTGTGCTACAGCCAGCATGCACATGGGAAAGTAAGTCTGCATCAGTGGGCTCGGGTGGCCCTTTTAACTGTGACTGCGAGTCTGTGTGACGCAGCTTTCGTTCGAGGTTGGTTTACGGAGAGGGGTGAGGATGGTTCTGTAAACCACACTTGCAACCCGGTCTGTCTGCTTCCCTCTGTGCAGCTCTATGACGGAGCTCCTGCCCTCAGCGGTCGTATCATACAAGGGCACTACCTAGGAAGTAGGGAGGTTCTTGGGTATGTGGGGCTCAGTCCCTGCCTTTACCTCTGACCCTCTGTCTCCATCTCGTGTCTTAAAATGCGCTCCCCGGGGCCCCCCACTGCTGAACTGAGACGTCAGTGACAACAGAGAGCTGCACGCTGCCCCCGGCAGGCTCAGTGGAGTTCCGCAGACTTGGGCTTCCCGAGGCCTTCCCCAAGGCTCCCCAGTCCCTTCCTCCACTGTAAACATTCCCATTGGACCCTCCTGCCTCACCACCCCTGCTCCTGTCCTCTCCCCCCACAAAGCCAGCAGGAGCCGGCAGTGAGCAGGGAGGCTGGGTTCACTGTTAGAAAGGCAGCGAGCGGGGGTGGGGGGGGCGTCTCAGGGCGGACCTGACTAGCTCACATCCCTCACTGGGGGGTGGGAGCTGGGCAAACTCGCTCCGACCTGACAGACGCTGGTGGGTTTCAAGGTCCGAAGCCAGGTTACTGAGACCCGGATCCCCTTCTAATCCTTGCGTGTGGCAGGTTGTGTTCCTTCACAACGTAGCCTGATACTTTATAGCTGTGTTTTTAGAAATTATTTCATGAAACGGGGGAGAGTCTCACCGCAGCGCACCCAGCCAGCCAGCCCGGGACCGGGGCACACGCCTGCCTGGTGCCCTGGGGAGGCTTCCAGATGCGAACCTGGAGCCGCCCTGTATGGGTCTGCTTCACAGCGCTGCACCCCACCCCGCACCCCGTCGGCCCGTGTGCCGTGTCAGGCACCGGACCTAGGAGCACTTCACGTGTGCAGTCCCATCGAAGCCCCTTGGCCACCCGGCGAGAGCACCCGTTTCATAGATAAGACAGATTTCCTGAGTAATTGTTGGCAGGTGTCTTCCCAGACGCCATGTGGACTCGGGCTCTGAGACTCCAGACTCGGGCACCTGCCCCAGCTTTACCCTCCTTCCTCGGCCTCAGCCCCAAACGAGTGCTCGATGTTTGCTGGAGGAATGAGGGAGGCCGGCTCTGGGCACCATCTTGGGAAGAAATCTCTCCCTTTGGCCCACTTGCCTCAGGTCTCCGGGGCTCCCCATTCCCTCGTGCAGGCGATGCTGACTGCTGAGGCATGAGTGTGGCGGGCC